AAGCGGCTGCCGGAGGCCGCGTGCACTCTCCGGCCTGGCTTGGCTCGTGTGGCCGGAGCGGGCCGCGGGGCCTGCGAGAGGTCCCTGCAGGTCAGGTCAGGACCCCGAGGGCCCGGAAGGAGAACCGGGGTTCAGACTCGGGAACCTCCGGAAGCCGTGGCGGGCTGAGCGGGGGTCTGACCCGGACTGGGTGCGGGCTGCGGGGCCGGACCCCCGCATAGGGCTTAGGAGGGCCTAGGTCCGCGAGATGCTGGGGACCCTGGCTCCTGGCCGTGCACGTCTGGTCCCCGGAGTCACTTCTCCCGACCAGGTGCTCTGGGTCTTGTCCTTGTTCATCCTGGGGTCCTTCCCAGCAGGGGTCAGGCGCCAGGACTTCCCCTGCCTCCGGCTCCCCAGGCAAGAGGAGAAAGAAAGGCACCCCCACCGCGGGTCAGCCAGGCCAGCCCGTAGCCCAGCAGGACGAGGTGAGAGGCTGGGCCCACCCTGCTGAGCTTGGGAGGGAGGGGTCCACCGGGGCCTGACGGCTCGCCCTCCCCAGGGCCCATCGGAGGACGCAGTCGCTGAGCTCAAGTCATGCCTGTGGCGGGCGCGGGAGCTGGAAGCGCGGGTGCAGGCGCTCAGGACCCACGCTCAGGAGGATGCCAGGGAACCCCGCACCCCGGATGCTGGAGGGCATCCCAAGGAGCCGTGGTGAGTCCTTGTTTGGAGTCAGTTACCCCAGGAAGGCTGCGTGGGATGGGGGTGCTCCGTTCAGAGGCAGGTGTGTTGACTTGGTGAGGAGCCGGACGGCCCTGCACAGACAGCGGACATGCTGGGGCGTCTGCAGGGCATCACTGGGTCCCTGTACCCCAGACCCTCTTGTCATCACTGGCCTCACAGGGCTGCCCTAGAGGCCAGGGCCAGCAGGCCTGAGCTGTGCCAGCCTCCTTGGTCTCTGGGTAGGGAGGTGGCAGGTGCGCTGGACCTGCCTAGCATGGGGCTGCTGCTCTGGCATTGCTCACGTGCTGGCCTCTGCCTGCAGCAGCGAGAAGGTGCCCGCCTACCAGCGCTTCCACGCCCTGGCCCAGCCTGGCGCCCCTGGCCTCGTGCTGCCCTACAAGTACCAGGTGCTGGCAGAGATGTTCCGCGGCATGGACACCGTTGTGGGCTGGCTGCACAACCGCCGAGAGACCGCCACCTTCGCCAAGGTCCAGCAGGGGGTGCAGGACATGCTGCGCAAGTAAGTGGCCGCGGGGGCCTGGCCTGCTGGTGGGGGTCTGCTCCCTCTGACCCCTCTGCCCTTCCTGCAGGCGATTCGAGGAGCGCAACGTGGGCCAGATCAAAGCCGTGTACCCTGCGTCTTACCGCTTCCGCCAGGAGCGCAATGTGCCCACCTTCAAGGACGGTGTCAGGCGGTCCGATTACCAGCTCACCATCGAGCCGCTGCTGGACGCGGGTGAGCACGGTGGCCCGTGGCGAGTGGGTGAGGGGCGGGTGCTGGCTGAGGCTGGCTGGGACTGGCCGGGACTCAGGCCTGGGCTCTCCACAGAGGCTGGTGGTACGGCCCCCCAGCTCACGGCCTCGTGTCTCCTGCGACGGCGGCGTGTCTTCAGCCAGAAGCTGTTGGAGCGGGTTAGGGAGCATCACAAGGTGAGCAGGCCCGGCCCTGCCGTGGGATGGGGCAGCGGTCCCAGGGTGGCCGCTGGGCCTGCCTCGCGTGTGGCCTGCTCAGCCGCCTGTACCAGGTAGCAGAGGTGAAGTGGCTGCCCCCAGGTTGCCCAGCACTAGGGCAGCCTGCCCTTCCTGTGTGCCCAGCTCACTCGGTGAGCCTCTACCCCTCTCCACAGGCCTTCCTGGCCTCCCTGAGCCCCCCCTTGGTGGTGCCTGAGGACCAGCTGATGCGCTGGCATCCGCGCTTCGATGTGGACAAGGTGCCTGACATCGAGGTGGCCGAGCTGCCCCAGCCGCCGCCTTGGGAGAAACCTGCCACGGCCCAGGAGGTGCTGGCTCGTGCCCGCGGCCTGATGTCACCCAGGGTGAGGCTGGGGGCTCTTGTGGTGGGTGGGGCCGTGCACCTGGCACCTCCCAGGTCTCACCCAGAGGTGGTAGCTGTGGCCTGCTCACCAGCAGCCTCTGTCCTCCTCTGGCTGGTGCGTTAGCACAGGCCGCGTCCTGTGGGGACCATGCCGAGGGACAGGGACTGCCTCTGGTGGGCTGGGGCATGTTCCTCATGACCTCACTGGTGTCCTCCAGATGGAGAAGGCCTTGAGCCACCTTGCCCTGCGCTCACCAGAGTCCAGCAGTCCTGCGTCCCCAAGCCAGGCCCTGCCGGCTACGCCACCAGCCACGCCGCCAGCTGCCTCTCCCAGTGCCCTGAAGGGGGTGTCCCAGGCCCTGCTGGAGCGGGTGAGAGTTCATGGGGTTGGGGAGGCGGGGCCTGGGGGCCTGCTGCCCACTGACCTGCCTGTGCCCCCACAGGTGCGAGCCAAGGAGGCACAGAGGCAGCTGGCTCAGATGACAAGGCGCCCGGAGCCGGAGCCGCCGCCGGCGCTGCCCGAGCTGGCCCGCGTGCTGCGTGGGGTTTTCGTATCTGAGCGCAAGTCGGCGCTCGCCATGGGGCTCACCTGCGCCAGGATGGTGGGCAGCTGCTGTACCACCATGAGCCCTGGTAGGTGCAGGCTGGGTGGGGAGTGACCACGCCTGCCCCATGGCTCTGCTGTGTGGCTTGGGGCTGCACCCTCCCCAGGCACCCTAGCCGGCCCCATGGTCCTTGGTCAGAGCAGGGTCCTGACCTGTCCACTCTGTCTCGGGCCCTTAGCAGCTGCAGGCGCGTCCTGCCGAGGCCTGCACTCCCACCCCCGAGTGCTCAGCTGCAGGCTCTGCTGTCTGCTCCTCTGGTCCCAGAGTGTCTCTGGGGACCCCCGGCCCAGGCCCAGCTGCGAGGCAGGGAGTGGTTTGCAGGCAAGCCCACAGTTGGGCTGCCTGCTGCAGTGCGTCGGCTCACACCCTCTCTCTACAGGGGAGATGGAGGAGCACCTGCTGCTCCTGGCCGAGCTGCTGCCAGACTGGCTGCGCCTCCACCACATCCGCACCGACACTTACCTCAGGCTGGACAAGGCTGCCGACCTGGCCAGCATCACAGCACGCCTGGCCTGCCTGGCCCGTGCCGAGGAGGCACTGTGAGTCTGGGAAGCTGCAGACAGACGGGCTCGCCGGCCTGGGCCCACTACGTTCTTGCCTCTGGTGGGATGGACTCCCCCCTTTGGCTGGTCCCCGGGTTCTCACCCATAGCCTGCCTGTGAGCAGTAACCTGGTTCTTGTGGGTGGGGCTGCCCAGAGGTGCTCACATCCTCGTGTGGTGGGGACTTTGCCGCCCCAGAAGAGCTGCTCCTGATCCCACTGAGTCACTGTCTAGACCACGTCCAGGGAGTATAAGACTGGTTATCTGTACACCAGGGGCCCGGCCTTGTCTCCTGCAAGAGGAAGACCCTGAAGATAGGCACATGAGGGGATCGGGGCCGAGGTGAGAGACAGAGACGGTCTGAGGAGGGCCTCCCCTTGAACTGGGAACTGGCGTGAAGAGCTTTTGAGCAATAAGAACTTGTGAAGACAAGGCTCCTCTGCATTTCAGCAGACCTGTTTGTTTCTACTTTTAACTAATTCAAGCCTTGAATCCATTTTGCAGTCCTGTCTTTTTATAAAGCTTGAATTGGATAAAGTGTAAGGTTAAATAAAAGTGTACTTCCAAGGTGACCCCTCATTGAAAGCCACACTGCAAGTTAGCAACTGCAGAGAGGCCTCTAGGTTGGAAAGGGTCCGGTCAGCCATGGGCCCGGTTGCTGCAAGGGCAAGCTGGCAGCCCCAGGCTGGAAGGGCTGAGGGCAGGCCCCTGGCCCCAGCAGGGCTGTTGTCAACAAAGCCAGTCAAGTTGCCGCCCAGCTGGCAGGTCTGCGAGGGTTACAGGCACTGGGAGGCCAGCTGGCAGCCCCACAGCAGGGCTGCTCTAGGCCTGCTTTTCCCTCGCCCGTGCTCTCCCAGCTGCTGGGGCACTGGTGGGACAGGCAGTGCTCTGTGAAGACGAGGCTGGGGCCTACCACAGGAGCAGATTCTGGGTGGCTCAAACACCAGGCCTGAGTGCCCATGGGTGCTTGTGTGGCCTCAGCTCCTGAAGTTCAGTTCCCTGAGGAGGGGGACCAGCAGTCCAGCCCCGAACACCTCCTCTGTCAGGCACCCCTCGAACACCCAGCCAGCAGCCCAGAGCTGCTCCGCACCCCACCCTGAGGACAGGATGACAAGAGACGTGTGCTGAGCAGAGATGTTTACTGAGTGCCATGTCAGGCCAGCCCACAGTAGTAGCAGTGGCCAGCCTGGTGTACCTCAGGCTACTGGCTCCGGGCTTTGGCACTTCTGGGTCTGCAGGAAGGGCCCTAGGCAACAGCCATGGACAGTGGAGCCACTTGCAGAGAAGTGGCCACTGGGGCCCCCTGGGATGAAGCTCCATGTCTTCAGTGGAGGACACTGGGCAGGGAGGGTGGCCATCCTGCATGGTCACTCGTACTGCAGCAGGGAGAAGAAGGGCACGGGCCCCAGCCTCTCCCTGCCCCTCAGCGAGGTCAGTTCCACCAGACTCACGCACTCCAGCACCTCTGCCTGCAGCTGGCCCAGCAGCTCACAGGCTGCACGCATGGTTCCTGAAGGAGGCAGCAGCTGGCATGGCAGCTCCAGTGCCAAGGGGCTCCCCTACCCCCCAGTGCGCCAGGCCCTCCTGGAGCCCAGGCTGTCTGCACAGGGGAGACCCTCACCGCCAGTGGCCAGCAGGTCGTCCACCACCACCACCTTCTGCCCTGGCTCCAGGGCGTCTCTCTGGATCTCCAGCTCAGCCTGCAGGGGGAGCAGGGCCCTCAGCTGAGACGCAGAGGCTGAGGGGAGCTCTAAGCTGCCTGCTCTGCCTGCATCCTGGTCTGCTCTAATGCTACCGCGTGGCCTCCAGCTGAGTGACCTGGCTTAGTGTCTCAACCTCTCTGGGCTCCCACATCTCCTGTGCAGCTCGGGCTTCAGCCGCTCTGGGGGTCTGGCCAGCGCCCCTCACCTTCCCGTACTCCAGCGCGTAGGAAGCCGACACAGTGGGGCCGGGCAGTTTACCACGCTTCCGGATGAGCACGCAGCCCAAGCCCAGTTCTTGCGCCAGGGAGGGGCCGAAGAGGAAGCCTCGGGAGTCTAGGCCTGTTGGGTGAGAGGCGAGGTCTTGGGCGGCAGGTGGCACGTCAAGCCAAGGCTGGATGGTGACAAGCAGCCGCCACAGAGACGAAGGGCACCGGGCCTTGGCTCCCGTTAAAGGCAAGTGCCGTCCACCCACCTACGAGTGTATGTACAAGCGTCGGCCTGCGTGGGGTCACACCAGGGCCCAGCCCATCCTTCACGGCCACTGCTGAACAGCGTGGTCTCAGGGAGGTCCTCTGACCTCTCCCCAAAGCTCGGCAGTCCATCTGCAACTAGGCTGGTGGCCACCCCACCTCACTACAGCCCCCACCCAGTGCACTGAGCAAGGAGCCCAGTCCCAGCAGGTGTTTCCGGCCCTCCCCAGGCTCTAGGAAGCTCTCAGCTGCTTGCCTGGGCCTGGGCCAGGAACTCGGGAGTCTCCGATCCCTCAAGGCTAGGGGTAGTGGGCAGGTGGATCCTCTGCCCACGGGGCTGCCTGGGCGTGTCCCCGAGCCCCCCCCCAGCAGAGGGTGCGCCCTTTCCTCCCGGCCGCAGGCCTCCCGCCGCTCGCCTGCGATGTAGTCGATCCTGTTCCCGTGGGTCTTCTTTAGGTGACTCGCCAGAAGGCGGATGGAAGCGCGGAAAGAGTCGGGGTCCTTCAGGAGGGGCGAGATGTCCCTGGGCACACAAGCAAGGCCGGCTGTCCCCGGGCTTGGGGGGGTGGGCGGGGGGCCTCGCACGCGTCCCGTCCTGGCAGGGCAACAGGGTCCCCCAGCCCGGGGGGTGGGGGCGCGGGCGGCCCCCGGCGGCCGGAGGCCGAGGCCGGGCTACTGCCGGTGCCAGGGCCCCCGGTCCACGCTCGTACCTGAACAGCACTCCCGGGATGGGGAAGTCCGGGAAACTGCGGATCCGCCGCGCCACGAGCTGCAGCTCAGGTTCCGCCATGACCGCGTGCTAGGGACTTTCGGCCCGCGGGGCGGCGCCAGCGCGGCGAGGGGCGGCGCCAGCGCGGCGAGGAGGGCCCGGGGCAAGTGGGATGGGCGTGTCTGACTCGGGGTCGCGGCGTCCTCTGCGGCGGGGCCGACCCGCTCCCG